CCTACCATGTCCCTGTCCTTACAAATCTTGAGTAGCCAAATCTTTATGCAACGGTTCTTTGATCCCTTTCACAGCATATTTGTTCGTTTGACAGTTTGGACCCATCCTATGTTCCTGCAAAATATTTTCATAACCTTCGCCTTTTCAAAGAATTTTTGGAGAATGATAACTGAAAGACCAGGGAATCTTCTGAATTCCCGGCTCAATTACTGCACACTGTAGAATATCTTTAATAACGCACCCAGTATGTCTATAAAGTAATCTACAAAAGAAGAAACAAACCTTAGTCAGGTTTTTAGTCCAATTAGATTAATCGTAGATAAAAATTTTAGAACTTTCTTGCTCTTCTCTGTATGTTTAACATCACCTACCTTACGCCTTACGTAGTCTTCCGCATATGTTAACGGTGTTAAATAAAAAAGCTTACTTTTCAAATGAAAGTCATAAAATTTAGAAGATACTGACAAAAATTACGAAAATCCACTATACATTCTCAAAAAAATTTTCAAAAATTTCACTTTTAAAAACGTTTCTATAAAGCCGTTCAAAACAATACTGTAATATTTTAGTCAAGGTATGAGCGAAAAAAATGATTAAGCTAGAAAAAAAGATGCAGATAAAATGAATCAAAAATTACTAAACTTATCCTTTTGTCATCTGTAAGGATCTTGCACCATTTTGCTCCTCCTCTAATGTTTCGTAATCGGTAGCAGTAAAATTTATCTTCCAGGACCGCATTTTGAAACTTGGCTTTTCAATTAAACCAGTATTTCTTTGGAGAAATGCAATACGAATTAAACGTCAGCGTTTTTAATGAGCTAAACCAAACCCTAATGAGTTTGATCACTTTTGCCGAGCGGAACTTTAAAAGTGTATGTGTTTTTTTCTTCAAAAGTTATAAAGAAGCTGTTGTGGAGTGGAAAAGCAGTCTAGACTTAGAAAACCTGATGGTACCAGGTTCAATTTTTTGCAACAACAACCTTCTGCTGTTTGTTATTCTCTCTAGCTGAAAAAAGATGACTGAAATTGTAGAGTTGTGAATTAGCCTCTCTCAGTAGTGAATAAACTTTTTTTCTGACATTTCGACAAGTGTTGAGACAAAAGTGATGCTATTTCAGGTTTCACTACTTTTTTCTTTTTGCTGCAGCTTTTCTGGGCACTGATTATTTTGTCTTAGCATACAGGATGTTGTTTTTGGAGATTGGTCTAAAGTTGACAAGAAGCTGTACTTGAATTCCAAACAATAAAAATTCAGCTACTGAATTATGCAGATTTCCAACAATTTTTTGTTTTCTTCTATCATAAAAACCTATCAAGTTATCTAACTGTTTAGTGCTTCATTGTTAAACGTTATGATGACTTTTTTTGGTTAAGATATAGGAGACCTGGTAAAGAGTTTTTATATTTTGCTTTCAGTGGATTCTCTGTTAAATTGACAAATGATGTGCACAGACTGCTTCAGCAAAATATTATTTTCGCTTAAACTTTTTCCTTAAATATACGTTGCTCAAAAGCTGCACAATCAGTCAGTTTGACGGCCAATCGAAAGACACTGCACTGTTTTGAAGAAATGGTTTTGGTG